CAGCTAGGAATGGCTGCAGCTGTCGCTATTTTAATCTGGATCTTCTATATATTATCTTGCAAAAAGCTGATATTTTTTTCAAATAAAATCATGAAAGCTGATGCCATAGTGAGGGACTTCAGAGCGGATTACAAACTCGAATCGATGAGAAATTCGTTGGGGATATGTGCAACGATTTACGTGATACTGTTCAGCCTTTTCATTTATACCGAGTACTTCTCATTTGTGGAGCCAATCCCTGGATTCATCTGGTTCTCCATGTTCTGTACACCTACATTCGTCATTATTTTTTTTCTCATACAATACTGTTTGGCGGTTAAACTGATGTCGCAGCGAATGAAGGCGCTGAATAATACAATTTTGAGAGCTATTGATACGACAGCTCTACCCCCATCCACAATGATGCAGAGTCATCCTGATAGCGAGATTATGAGAACTTTTGAGATCTGGAAAAATGCCCATGACGAGCTGTACGAAGGGAGTACTATAATGGCTAATTTCTACTCTTTTCCGATTCTATTTGTAATGGGGTACGTCTGTTACGCTGTGATATTCAATACTTTTTATTTGGGGAAAGCTTTGAGAAAGCTCCACAATCGAGAGGCAATTCACTGGTTTTTGAATGACTTTGTGTGGATCCTCATATTGGCAATGCCAACTGTCACCCTTATGCTAGAAATTGAAAAATTTCTCTCAGAGGTACGCACCTTCTTCTCAATTTAATAACCAATTAACTAATTACTCTCGTAATATTTTTATCCAAGGCCAAGGGAAAAGCTGCTGTATGTCGTAAACTCGCTGTGCGATTTACCAGCAATCGACTCTTCCGGCGTCAGGTAATTGATAATTTCAGGAGAAAAACATGTCTTTGTTAATTGAATTTTAATTTACAGGTGAATATGTACTCTCATGAATTGCTACATGAAAATATCAATTTCACTGCGTCTGGATTTTTTTCGCTGAATGGAAATGTCCTGCACTCGGTAAAAAAAAAATTATTATGGATCCCGTTACTCAAGTAATTGTGATTATTTTCAGATATTCGCAACGATCGTAACGTATCTCGTTATTATTTTTCAATTTGACAATATTTATCGGCAGTAAATATATCAGCGATTGAGGAAAAGAAGAAAAAAAATGGTGCGAGTAAAATAGATAATTTTGTGCTTCATGGAATGGGCAATTTTGTAAAAATTTACGAGGACATTCTCCGAAGGGCGACTTCTATTTTCTATTTCATCGCCGATTATCTGAGCAATGAGACCCGTCAATAATTCCCACGGCACTACACAAAAGGGGAACCAACACCGGTTTTCCAATATTCTCCAATAATTTCGCCTCCAGCGACAGCATGACAAACCCTAGGTTCAATCGCGTTATAAACCGCTTGAAAACTAGAAAATGGGTGAAAAGCGAAACCCTAGAGCTTCAATTGATAATTAATTTTTTCAAAATAAATGGATTATTCCCATGTACAGTACATACAACTCCAACAATTTATTTTTCCCGCTCTAAATTCTGGGGCTTCTACCCCATAGCGCTGATCGGAATTCTGTGTTACACTAATTTTTATGTGGCAATACCGACTAAATTGCGGGAGTATCAAACATCTGGTGGAGCGACTCTGGAGAGTATGTTGGAGTCTTGCAACAATTTAATGGCCACGGCAATCACCATGATCATCTGGATCCACAGTGTCCTGTTCTCTGATAAATTGACATTCTTTGGGAACACAGTAATCAGAGCCGACGAAATAGCAAAGAGACTCGGCAAGAGCTATCATTTGCCATCCATGAGAAGAAACCAGAAAATATTAATAATTATTTATTTGGTATTGCTCATCAGCATCATGACAACCGAATCCATGTCTGATTATGGCCTACCGAATTTCCAAAAGTTTTGCGTACGTTGTGCACCTAGTTTTATGATCATTCTATTCATCATTCAGTTCGATTTGATTCTTCAACTGACGTGGAGACGAATGAAGGCGCTGAACAATATAATTCTGGAAAATGTAGAGACAAGAATTGTTCACCAGCGGAAAAACATCGGAATCGAAACCACAAAGGACTGGGAGATTTGGAAAAAAGCTCAAGATCTATTGTATGAAGGCAGTGTAGTAATCGCTGAGTTCTATTCCTTTCCGATGTTATTCGTCTTGGGGATCTCGTGTTACGGAGTAATTACCATAACTTTTTATGCAATTGATCATTGTATGCACAATCATCCACCAGTAATACACCGTCTTGCAAATGACTTGAGTTGGACTTTAATTCTAGTAATTCCAATTGTCGCGTTGATGTGGGAGATTGATGGTCTTCTTGCTGAGGTATTATCCCTCTGTATTATCTATTAAACAATTTATTATTAATGATTTTTATAATGATTTTTGCAGATCAAGGCAAAAGCCGTTGTCTGCCGTAAACTTGGGTTTCAATTTCCAGATAATAAAGTTCTTCGCACTCAGGTAGTCGGCGATCATGCAATCGTTTAATTATTTTAATCATCGAGTACTATTTTCAGATTAAAATGTACTTGTATGAAATGCTGCAGGAGAATATAATCTTCACAGCATTCGGATTTGTT